AAAAGATTTTTCGTCATTTATCAAGTTGTTTCATAGTTGATTGTTATTCCTTAATAGGTACAAAGATGCCGGGTAACAATTCAAGCGCAATGACTTCAATAATTTCGAATTGATACTTGGAGCGTTGGTTTGACATTGCCTCTAAGAATCTCTTTCAACTCTCCAGGATTATCCAGGGATCCCCTGATACGGAAAGTTTTCTCTTGGTCTTCTGTATGGGTCAAAATCTCTCCCGGACAAAATTGAATTTTGAGGTTTTCTGTGGTTTGATTGAAATTTAGTCCATTTTCTCCAAGAATCCAAAAGCTTTTTTTGATCTTAGTACGGGTTCTGTGACAGTGTGTTTCATTAGTGAGAAGACTTCTTCATCAAAAGGCGACTTTTGACAGTCTGTTCTTCCTTATAAACCTTTAATTTCTTATAATGTCTTAAGCCATACCCACGCTATAACATAATTATATACTTATGGAAAAGGTTTCCACTTCTTATCATCGTTTACTAGTCTTTTAAAATTTTCAGTTCAATTTGAACATTCTTTCTTTCTTTTTTTCAAAACGGACCAATATACTGAGACACCACTACTTTGATCAAACTACATAGAATCTTGCTTACCCGTATTGTTTGGAGTAGGTGTGCAAACGTTAAATATGAATCAGTTTACTAAAAGCTACACGAAGACCAAAGATAAAATTGCTTCACAACATAAACGCTTCTCGTTTATTTATTACATTGAAGAAAACAATACCACACAACTTTTTTTTGCAATATTCAATGATTGATAATCCAAATCAAGTACATTCACCTAAGCTCGTCATGGCGTTTGGGTAGGTTAGTGTCTCCTAAACCTCTAAGATGTAATGGGATAGGCCAGTTTCGAATATCAAAATTCACACTTAACTCCGAGGCTTAGCGGAATTGAAACAAAAGAAATGAATAATATGTCACTGAATCTCATTGCATGTTTACTCATGAATCTCGGTGGCAAGTATGAATTATAATAATTCGGAACTGGTCTCTTTGCATTCGCACTTAATTAATGATAAATCAACCTCGTTCCTGGGCTGTTTATTTCAATCGCCATGCCAAGTCTCGCGAGACGTACAAGAGCATGATAACGAGGTTACTGATAACTAACTTGTGAGTAGTAAACATATAGCACAACTGATAATGCCATTTGAAATCTAATCAGCGGTGTAGTTAGAGTGATTTAAGTGAACCGGTGAAATAGATAGTATAGAATACTACGCCCTATTATGCATTTAATTCTATTGTCCTTTTGTGTGTATTTGTAGTTATTTTGCACTAGTTGTTATTAACTGTTTCACGGAGCCAAGTAAAATCGCTCTAAAAGCCTGCTCACGAATATGCTTGGTTATTGCAATTGGTGCGATATTCAAACATTATTATTGGGGATTTTTAAGCCTTGCTCGGAACTATAATGATATCATACATTTTGGTTAATTTCATTCCAAACTTGAAGGATTAAAAACCTAATTACCGTATATCCTCGGTCAGAAAGGCTAAATTCGTTACTTGTTTGTCAGCGAATTGGCTTCACATCTACATCTTATTACGTCGGTAAAGTCGATTATAAGACATCACACCAGTTGCAACTTGCTTGTTACACAGGCAAAAATTAAAAAAAAAAAACGTAAATATGATTATTTGAGGAAGGACGAAATATTTTGCAATCAATCATATGAAACACACTTCCAAATCAAGCCTCAAACAGTCATGTCCTCATGCTTAAACAAACTCAGTTACTTTTGAATAAAATACTGCAGACAATATATAAAACTGAATATATACCCAAATATACACACCAATAGTCTGTTCACAACTTTCCTGACCTCTCATTGTACATTAATGAGATGAACGCGGCAAGCCTTATGCTTCTCACACAAACAAATAAACGTCAAATCATTTAACATGTCCATGTAGTAAAAGTTTCAGAAATCAGGGGAGGCTGTACGTGAAAAATGAAAGGTGAACTTCTACAAATAATACGCTCTAAGATCAAACGCAGCAAACTACAAAAGCATTACACTGAGGAGTTACATGTTTCAAAACAATGAGGGAGGGAATAAACTATTTCTTGAAAAAAACCTTTTTTAATTATAAGCCTAATTCTGCCTTGTTCAGTAATGCTTAAGAAGGGAACAACAGTGGTTTAATCTCGCATCCCCCACATAAAACAGTCATTGTCCCGGAGTGTTCAATTTCAAAAGGATTTCTAAAAATAACAAAGGTTGGACAAATATGGTTAAGCAAATACTCTGTGCAACGAGTTATGTCACCCACTTCCACAAAAGGATGAAACTACGGATAAAAACAATTGCGGACCTGTCAGTTTCCTCCTCAAAATCTTCAAACTGTTGGAAAAAGTGATGTTTGATCAACTGTACACTTCCTATCCCCCATTTTCTCAACTAATATGTCGTGCTTTCTCAAGGGACACTCTTGCGCTATAGTGTTGATCAAATTAGCAGATAATTAGAGACACAGCGCTCTTGACGAAATTTCGTTAACGTAGCTGCCATCGATCTATCAAAGGCTTTTGACTGATTTGCCATAATTTACTCCTTGCAAAATTTAATAAAGCAAAAGGCGTACAAAAGCCAGCCCTTCAATTTATAACTGACAGCAAACAAAGGGTAATACGCAATGACACATACTCTAACCTGTCATCTCTACACTGTGGTGTCCCTTAGGGAAGTCTTCTCAGTCCCTTTATTTAACATCTTTATGAATGACATGAACTAATCCGTCATCCTCGTCACTACGCCTCTACGCAGACGACACTACCTAATTGTGCTTCAATACCCTTAAAATAAAAACACGGAAAGTATTTTATCCTGGCTTGGCCACAATAATCTTCAGGCCAATGGCGACAAGATGCAAGGGATGATCTTTGGAAACTCTTCTTACTATTATGACAGGAGAGTTTGATGGCATTTCCATCAGTCTCAAAGAAAACTTAACTATTCTTACAGTACACTTGGACAATCAGTTATCATTCAAATAACATATAAATATGTTGTTAAAAAGTATAAGATAAGATAAGAGTTATTACATGTAATATAAATTATATACAAAAGTTCGGGCTACAATAAGGGCTTACTATCCACTTGTTTGGTGATTTTCCGCGAAGGAGTAAACGGAAAATAATGATAGTGCAAAAACATTATTTCGACTTTCAACAGGAAACATAGATATTTATCACGTAAAATTCACTCGTGTAACCTCGCAGTTCTCTACAGTATGTTGAATGCCATTTTCGATATGTGTGAAAACTGAACTTTCTTTCAAAGTTATCAAGACAAAAACATTAGCAAAGAACACTGTCACTTAGTAGTCTGCCTTCTACGCAAAGTCCCACACTGCGAGGCCCTTTTGCCTTATGCTTCATATACGCTAAATGCCGCGTCAGGAAGAAACCTCTGCTCGCAGGGATGCAAAATCCTTTTTGTGTTACACACAGGCATAGTTTCTTTGACATCAAACACTTTGGGTGACCCTGGAAATAAAGAAACATTTGATGATTAACACACTTTGAGAAATAACTGCTGTGGTAGTAGAAGTACTTATTGTACAATGTACTGACGGTGAAAGAGTTAGCATTAGGTAACATTTGCTGGATGACAGTCGTTTTCGCTTAACAACAGATTTCATGGTTTCATCCAAACAAAACATGAACATTGTTTCCTATCCAATCCATGGTCCAGGCTTCTTTATTAACGTTTGAAAATGTATCCTTTGTTTGGGATAAAAATCTCATTTGCCTCTGTTAACATTATCATCATTATCATTTTTATAATCATCGTCATCGGCATCATCGTCAACATCGTCGTCGTGGTCATCGTCATCGACATTTTTATCATTATCATTATTATTATTATCATCATTATTATGACTATTCTTATCATTATTATTATTATTTGTTCCATAAGCTATTCCAAACCATTTTTACAACTCAAAAGGAAAAGCCGAAAGTCCTTAATCTGAAAGAAGTTTTCTAGTTTTCAATTCCCATTTCAAGATCTATTAATGACTGAACTGTTGACGACTGGTAATGCTGAGAGTCATTGCGATAGCAATGCTTTTGAAAAGGTTTTGAAGTTAAGATTTGTAGCCATTTTGGAGAAGTTCAGAGGGCTCAATTTAACAGAATTTTCCTTACGCTATCGGCTTTCGTTAAGGAAACGGCACACTAAACACTTCATTTTTGGCTTTGTAGCAAGAAACAGTTGAATGTTAGGCATTTTAACAGTAACAGTAAAAAATTCTTTGAAACGGTAAATTCTTTTCCAGAAACAAGCGAAAACGAATCCAAAAAAGGCCAATATTATTTTGTTTAGTATATCAGGAAGTTTTCGGCCAGTTTACGACAATTCCCGGTTATTTCACAAGAGTTCCGAAGGCTATCGATGATTCCCGAAGACTGTCGAAGATTTCCGAAGACTAACGAATAGGTCCGACTATTACCGAAGATGTCCGAAGAACCCTTCAAACACTTCACCGTATTTTCTTCGGAAACAGTAAACATTAAAAAAATTGGCCAGTTTGACAGCAAACACTAAAAATTAGGGGCAATCAACACTAAACACTAAGCCCCATTCCGACCCTCAAGGAAAGGTTTTTATATGGCCTAAAATTCGGAAACGTTTGCTGAAATCGTTCCAACGTTTCTCATTACATTCGGTACACTTGGTGGCCAGTTATGTAGGAGCTGCTCGTAAGGTCTCTCCTGATTGGTATGAAATGTCATCCTGTCAATTGTTTCACTATTGTTTGGGGTCAAGGTTAGGCACCACTGATTACTCCTCTTCTGAGTAGCTGCTACATGACCCGTGGTGGCTAAAAGTCAGACCAAGAGGTGACATCAACATTGTTGAAATCTTTTTCAATTCTGTGCATCTTAATTTGTCAGTAATATGCTTAATTTTGCAATTTTCGAATTCTTTTCTTAAAAATACAAATCAAAAAATTTACTTACATCTTCAATTATTTTCATCAAATTGAATTGTAACGTTATCGCCAATCAGCACAAATGGAGCCCAGTACTTCGGGGCAGAAAAGCTTTCCGAGTCCCGGAGACATTTCATGGCCCTCTGAAGAGCGTAACTAGCACTTTTGCCAGCTCTCAGGTGTTGGTAGAAACTTTTCATAAACTCCAAGGTGGCTTTGTCATCGATTGCCCAGAGTGACACTAGCACAGAACGAGCACCAGCAAACAAGAAAGCCCGCGCCATACCGACGACGCCCTCGGAGTTAACGTCTCCTTTACCACCATGGCAACAACTGAGCACAACCAGCCTCGCTCTCAACTCAGTAGCTTGTATATCAGACATCTTCAAAATATAATCCTCTTCCATAGGAATAGGATTCTTTGATTTCCAACCGGGGTTTGGAGCCAAGGCAATTTCAACAGTTTCCTTTCTTCCGTGGGCTGCAATGTGAACTAAAGCGACTGACTCTATTCCTTTAAGCACCTCCTGTTTTGTTGCAGCTTCTCCTGTAAGTGGTTGGCCGTTTAGGATTCCTCCAATCATCTCCACATCCTTTTTTGCGTAATTAAGTTGCTCGTAAATGGGTCTACCCCATTTATCTGTAACTTTTTCCAGACTTGGATCTCCAACAAGCAGGACTCCATCTTTAGTGTGGTGATCAGCTGCAGAATCAGTGATCAGCTTCAAAATTGCAAGTGAAGGAACAGTACGGATCCTTAAAGATTCACTTAGCGCTGCCCATGGAGCTAAAGACAAAGCACCATCAGGGACTACAATAAGTTCATCACAATTAAGCAAGTCTTCAATGGGACCAATCACAACATCATACAGTGGCTGTAACCAGTCAGTATTCCTGCGTGACGGCTCCAATATTCGCTCATCGCCTCGTGTATTGTGAGCTGGATTGTCGCTTACCTTATCCAATGACCGATTCTCGCATCTTAAATTGACCCCTGCCTCAATTTGTTTCAAAGAAGCTTCCAAAAGAACAGCAAATGGATCTTCATGTACATTTTCCATTGTTAACTTTGCTTCCCTAAAAACAGCGTTGCTTTCCTTTCCCAATACCCATAAATAAATTGTTTCATTTTCTATTGCAAGAAAAGCTGTCAAAGTAGATGTTTTTCTTGAAATGTTTGTAACCTCTTCTTCAGGTTTATTGCACCTGTGTGGAAATGATGGGAAGCCATATTTTATTTCCAAGGCCTCTTGCAAGGCTTGTGCTCTTCCTTGCTCAGCAGCATAAAGGGCCTCGTTCGTCTTTTGAAGCATTATAAGAACTTGCTATAAACAGGTGTAGGCATTTTTCGAAACCGAACGGTAACTTATTTTCCAGACATCTTTGGAAATGAGACTGGCTCTAATAGTGTTATGAGTTTCTACGCTCAACCTGAAATGAGCTAAAGCTTCATTCAAAGAATCTAAATTTAAATAAGAGATGCCTAGATTGTAATAGGCACGTCCTTCTCCGGCCCTGTCGCCGACGTCCTTGGCAATGCTAAGGTGTTTCTCGAGGTACTCTATTGCTCGTTGGAAGTCGCCGAGAGAGTGATAAGCATTGCCGAGATTCCCATAGGCAAGTCCTTCTCCGTACCTGTTGCCGACGTCCTTGGCAATGCTAAGGCGTTTCTCGTGGTACTCTATTGCTCGTTGGAAGTCGCCGAGAGAGTGATAAGCATTGCCGAGACTCCCATAGGCACGTCCTTCTTCGGCCCTGTCGCCGACGTCCTTGGCAATTGGTTTGTGGCGCCTGTGGCCCCAGTAATGCTGAATTTATTGCGATCATAGAAAAGATGTCGTGAGTCAGTTGGTATGCTCCTGACTTGTAAGTCACGTGAGTATGTAGGGCAATACCCAAACATCGACCCCACCATGCTAATGATACAAGAAAGGTTTTCTGCATTTACGTTAGGTGATCTTTGTTAGATCCACAAAATTGGCGCATGAAAATAAGAAGTTTTTCCACATCACCGCTAAATGTTTGGTTCCGGGTGGCGGTGCAACAAATCACGTGGTACCGTTCTAGATCAGCCTACTGGCTGCTGCTCATAGAGGGGTCCATAAAGGCACATTGATTGATGAGATGACTCTGTATGGCCTGAAGAAACTAATATACGCAGACGTCTCGGCTGAGCGATGAAGGTGCAGCTTATACACTCCTTTTTCGTTTCGAAAATAGACGAGCACGCGAGAGGTCTCAGGTGACTATGCTAACGTCATGAAAAGTCTACTTAGCTTGTTTAAGTCTAGGGCAGGAGGAAGAGATGGGTGGGTTGGTTGGCATTGGGTTCTCCACTAGGATCAACCCTACACATACAAAAACTCATGTCTTTATCACTACATTTAGAGCTAGCAGACTTTGTAAGATCCACAAAATTGGCGCATGAAAATAAAAGTTTTTCCTCAACACCGCTAAATGTTTGGTTCCGGGTGGCGCGGTGGCGGAGTACAAATCACGTTGTACCGTTCCAGCCTACTGGCTGCTCATTTAAAAGGGGTCCGTAAAGGCACATTAATTGATGACTCTGTACTGCCTGAAGAAAATTATATACGCAGACGTTTTCTGAGCGACGAAGTTGCTGCCTTTACACTTCTTTTTCTTTTCGAAAATGACCACGGACTTCTCTCCTCGCTCCTCTCCGCTAGGCGGTCGTTTTTGCCCGAGAGATACCACTACGAAGGAGTTTTAGCACGCAAGTCACTGCTGGTGCAGACCTAGGAAAAGGGCATTCTCCATCTGAAATTTTAAATCGAAATGAAAGGCTATTTTGAGTCTTTTCTCTCTTTTCTCCGCAACGTATTTGGTTAAAAGATAGTAAGTAAAATGGCTGAGGCATTTTAAAGCATTTTTTCATTTACGCGACGGATTTTGGCGTTATGGAAAAAAACTTGTCAGTGAATTGGTATATTTTTTAGCGTGCGAACAAGTGCCGGGGGGTGGTGGCGGACAGAGCCAGGTTACTATTCCTTTTTTTAGGTGGGAGCTAGCAGTACGTGCATTCTGGTCTAACGCCATACTGTGTAGATTGGCCTTTAAGGGCCTCTGTTCGGGGGGCGGGGGATCAGATAAATTACAGCAGGTTGAGGTCTCACCAGAAGATGCACTTGCTGCAGAGGAGCAAAGCAATACCTTTCAGTAATTTAAACATGTTAAATACTTGTATTTCGCTTATCAAATGCGTCCATTTGTGTTGATTTCTGTTTTTTTAGGAATGTTCTTTTGCGGAGCATTTGCCAATTTTCTTTAAACAGTTTTACTCGTTTCCATTTCCCTGCTCTACCTTCATGTGGCTTATGGCGTACGTGTGTACCTAAACCACTCAATTCATACAGAGGTGATCGATAGAGAAGTCTATACGCCAAGCGGGGTTAAGATCAGTTTATCACAGGCAAAGGCTCAGAAGGCTAAGTGCAAATAAAAGAAAACTAGTGTGAAAAGTTTTGCAGACTCGGCTTAGTAACTCTATTTGTTTTCTTTCTCTATTTGAGTTTCGGCTGGTACATCCTAAAATCAAGTTTAGTTCCACATGTTTTGAAGAATATAAAATATAAAACTGAAAAAAAAAACAGTATTAATTGTCATTTTATTTTTTCTTATACACTCGTGCGATGATTTATCCTTTTTTGTACGGTTGCGTGACCAGACTCAAATCACACACGGGCTTTCATCACGCAACACAGCGTTTAGTCCGAGGCTAAACGAAGGAAGATTTCAGTAAACTGCGGTCACTTGCAGTTGAAACGACTGAGGTAAGTAAATTCTTAGAGATCTCGAATCCCATTTAGAGCTAGCACGCCGTTTCTATCAGCTTTATTTTAGGTGCAGAAACTCAAGGTCAATATTTACACTCTACCAGGACTTAATCTGAGCGTCGTCTTTTTCAGCTACTTGCGTGCAATCAAATGCAGTGTTAATCTACTTAGATTTTTTATAACCAACAAATTGAAAAGCGTTTTTTCAAAAGATTTTAAGAGCTTCCCGTAATGTGCCCCTTGTAAAAGAAGCTAAGTTTGCAAAAACTTTTGTGTACCCACAGTCACGGCTAGCTTGTTTCAGCGTTCCAACGTGCGAAACTACCCTGCACGTTTCAGTGTCTCAGCGACGCGCTTTTGTAACGCCGCCAAAAAATTTTTAACACAAGAAACGGCAAAGGATGTGCTTTAAAATAGTGTTTGTTTCATGTTGAAATTCCATGCATCAATTGTTTTTTTCAATGGTGAAGTTAGGTCAAATTTGTCATTTTTGAAAGGAGCCGAAATCGTGTTTCTTCTTGCGGCCGTCACAGCCACATTTAAGCAGCTTATCTAAAGATAATTGCTGAATTATAAAGTACAAGTCTGTCTTTGCTTTGTGACTTGATGTCATTTAGAGTTATCTCCACGTTTTTATGTACAAGCGCGAAGAAAATGCTTAATTTTCGCTAATTTCATACTCGAAAGAGCGCCGATTTAGCGTTTTTCAAACTTTGTCCGATTCAGGAAAAAATAAAAAGCCGTTACAAGTTTTAATGTGATTTTTGAAATAAGTGTACTATAGAGATTATGTGGGAAAAATATGAAGAAATTCAAAAATTCACGACTTTCAACCGATTCTCGAAAATTACAGACATTGGCTCTTAAAATGTTAGCATAGGAAAGGTGAGGGTATGGAAAAAGAGCCTTTCAAAGCGTTTTGAATGTATTTCTTTTGGATTTACAATTAATTAAGCCAACTTTTTTTCACCATAACTTTTTATGGCCAGGTTTAAGTATGTCAATTTTGTTGTAGATTGTTTGCGCAAGTTTTAGCTACAGTTGTTAACAATTTTCGCTGGGTTGAGTTTTGTTTGATTTTGAGACTGTAGCAATAATTTTTAGTTATTGAAATGTCTTTTAAGTTTTCTTTCTCAATGTACTCAACAGATTTGTCGGAGAAAACCTGGGATGAGATTGAGAAAGTCTGGGCCGAGAAAGACGAGCCTTTGGAGTAAAACCATGCAATGACTGAAATGGCTGACTGCGTTAAGGGACAATTTTGCGATGGCACCTTGTGTCAATGTTGTAGCAGTGAGATGTAATCAGAATTTGAAATAATATTGTAACAGGGAAAAATACAGGGTGGCCCAAAAGTTCGTTCCTCTACGTTATAAGTCTGTATTTCAGTTCGATTGGACTTGGTAGGCAAATCATTTAAACAAAAGTTGTGCCTTTCAAACTAATTCACTATTTTCATCCTTGTTGTGCTATCTTTTGACTCGAATATTCGATTTGTGTACTTCCGCGCCAAAGGTGTGGTGCGCGAGTATATTTTCCAGCCACATATTTTTTGTATTTTATAGCCTGAATTGCTGGAACTCTTACCTTGTTTTTTGTGAATATCACGAAAGATTAACCCCCTTAACGGAAAAACGCTACGCTACGTGAGAGCATAAGCATGTATACTTCGATTTACTGGCTTATCTGTTGAATAAACTGCTAAAAAACTGGGAAAATCCGAATGTTGGGTGATTAACTGATCACGGAGAAATGAAGCTTTTGAAGGCAAGAAACGAAGGAGAAGACCAAAAGTCCTGAATAAAGCAGCTAAAATAGTTTTTAAGAAGGCTAGATACAAAATAGGAGACTCGACGAGGAAGCTCTCACATAGTTAGCAAGCAAAGTCTAGACAGGATCATGAAAAGCTGTTTAAAATGTTTAAAATTACTAAAATTAGAGGTCCCTGACATGGCAAAGAAAAACCTATGCTTAATCTGCTAAGTAACGCCCAGCTCCTCTCAAATTTGTAGAGGTACAAAAGCCTTGCTGTGGAAGGGGGCCGGTATGATTATCTTTTTTGGATGAATGCCCAAAATACTTTTTTTTTTCAGCTGCCTAAACTAAACAAATATTGTTTGGGGGCTGCACTGGCTTCTGCGCAGTAAGTGATAAAAAAGCTCAAAATGGATCATCTCTGGGTCTACACGCAATCCCACCTCATGCCGCAACGGCTACAGAATGTGATAAAAAAAACAAAACAAAACAAAACAAAAAAACAAAAAGGGCATGCCAGTTACTGAAATTCTGAATACATGTACTCGATAGGGAGATAAACATCTGCTAGAAATTTGATGTAAAAATAAAGTTTTGATAAAACGTTATAGTGCATGAAATTAGAGGAACGAACTTTTGGGACACCCTGTATTTTACCTTTAATCCAAGTCATAATTACGTGACAGTCTCAGCACAATTACACACGTGTACCATTGTCCCCATTGAGACTGAACAGAAGGGAAAGGAGTGAAGAGTTCCTTAAGTGTCTTAACAACATTATGTTTAAGTTGTCTCGTTAATTTTGTAAAACATTAAACACAAGTGAAAGCTATCACAGCTAAAATACTTAAGACTTAAAACATTAATGGTAAGTTTTTAATTTGAACTATATCTACTCAAAATCGACGAAATATTATCAATATAAAACAGTACTGTAGCAGCTATCCTAAGGTCTACTGTGATTGGCTCACAGAGTGTGAAGGGTTGCGAGGGTTTCAAACCAATGATATTGTTCATATGGTGTCACGTTCATTCCGCCTCGTTCATAATTTTCGCGC